ATTAACTTTGGATTTCCTCTCCAAAACCCACCCCATACTCATTGCTTATTGGTGCATCACACATTAACACATGCACATACGAACAACACACACACTTGGCAGCAAGAGCCAATGTCTCTCTCCCACCACCTTCCCAGAAAAGCAGCATCATCAGGGACCAGGGTGTGGCTGTGTTTGTGCCTGCATAGACTCCATGACATGTGGCAATCACATTGGAGATCATTTTCCTTCTGTACATGCAAATGAAATTAATTTAATTTGCTATGATTAAATCATATTATGAAATAATTAAATTGTTTAAATATTTATACAAATTAATTTTAGAATTGAATGATAGCAAATGTGTTTATTATTGACTTACAAGTTATATATAAATATTTATATATAATTGTTTACTGTAAATGTAAATACATTTAATCTGCTATTTTCATGCAATGAAGTATACACAAGTATATATTTAATTTGCTATTATTCAATTACATCTATTACATTATGTATTAGTATAAGTAATTAATTGTATGTATAATGTTATCGAATGTGTGTTATTACTATATTATTATATTATTTAGTTACTATTACTATATTATTTAGTTATTTATGGAAATATTTAGTTTTGTATATTTAAATACATTTCATCTGAAATTTCATGTAATAAAAAATCATATTAATAAAAAATTAGATATTATTAGATAATTTTACAGATAGATAGATAGATAGATGTCCAAAACATTGCTAAAAATCAAAATTATGTATTTACGAGTATTGTTCAGTGACTGTCAATTGTTCATTGACATACACATATTTTCACACTGACAAAATATTTTTTGCATTTTTCAGGCAGCCAATTATGAATGTTTGGTTACACTTTATTTTAAGGTGTCTTGTTACAGTGTAATTATACATTTAAGTAGTAATATTAATTAGCAACATGTACTTACTGTAAGGTTAGTTTCATTTAATTTTACTTGACGTGTAACAAAGAGACTGTAAAATAAAGAGTTTCCGTCTGTTCTTTAAACTATTGTTTCCCAACCCTGTTCTTGGAGGCACACCAACAGTACAGATTTTTGGATGTCTCTTTGTCTGATTCATCCGTTTGAGCTCTTGAGTTGAATCAGGTGGGTTTGAGTTTGAAAACGTGTACTGTTGGTGTGCCTCCAGGAACAGGGTTGGGAAATACTGTCTTAAACGCCCTGTGTGATAGCAGAATACAGAATGCCTTGTATCCTATTATATTTACTGTCAAATGTTAGTCTGCATTTGGTTTTTTATGTCTGTGCAGTGATGCTGTTCCTGAAATAGAGCCCTATCAGGGTAGGAATGTTAAACATGGCACGGCAGTATATCAACACATCAGACAAATTGTTATTGTCAGAGGACATGCAGTCATTTGGGGGGGGGTAGAGTTAGGGGCCGTTCATACAGAATGCATCCTGTGTGAGTGGCCCTTAACACACTTTCAGTAGCAACTAGATGCTATTCTTGGATTCTAAATAAGAAAGCAGGTTGGCCTTCACAATAATTTTAGAACTTAAAACTGCTGTTAGAAAGTAAATCTGTGTGATAGCAGAATACAGAATGCCTTGTATCCTATTATATTTACTGTCAAATGTTAGTCTGCATTTGGTTTTTTATGTCTGTGCAGTGATGCTGTTCCTGAAATAGAGCCCTATCAGGGTAGGAATGTTAAACATGGCACGGCAGTATATCAACACATCAGACAAATTGTTATTGTCAGAGGACATGCAGTCATTTGGGGGGGGGTAGAGTTAGGGGCCGTTCATACAGAATGCATCCTGTGTGAGTGGCCCTTAACACACTTTCAGTAGCAACTAGATGCTATTCTTGGATTCTAAATAAGAAAGCAGGTTGGCCTTCACAATAATTTTAGAACTTAAAACTGCTGTTAGAAAGTAAATCTGTCAGCATTTTGGCCAGGACATGTTGATGCATCTTTCAAAGTGTCAGCAGATCATAAGCCAGTATTTGAAGCAATGGGGCCAGTAAAAACTCGAGTATCTGTTAACCAGGCACTGTTAAAACTACATTGCAACACAAATAGAGTAATTTCCAGATAGCAGGTAAATATCCATAATGATGCCTGGCATTGCTCTGTTAAAATTGATATATTAAATTTTCTTTTTAGTCCTCTGATTTGAACACTGATTAAATGGGCATTTCTCATCTCTCAAGACTTCAGTGTAGATGCCCACTGCTATTTATTGTTTAGCACATTTGCATGAAAGTATTACTGTACATGTTGAACTTAAAAAAAAACTTTTACAACATGTTTACCATTATAGCTTACAAGATAAACTAATCTTGAAAGTGTTGATTATAGCATTATATGTAGATCAAGTCCCATGCATTGCAACTCAATTGCTGCACTCTCGTGAATGCTTTAACTTGAAGTGATTGACAGTTCCAGCAATTCTAACGAGGGTGCTTTCTGTGTATAATTTGATCAAAATTTAATAACAGATGATTTCCATGCTGCTAAGAGGAAGAGTGAGAAGTTGACTGTTTAGTCACTGGCTTGATTCACTGACACATAAACAGCAATAAATCATGTTGCGTTAAAGAACTCTGACTGTATATGATTAGAATTAACATGATTACTTACAAGCATTACTGTCAGTCCATCCGTATCGTATTTGTAAAAGTCTGTTTGCAAAGCCTGCATCGAATTGCAACTGGTTTACCAAAGAATACACAATAAAATGTCTCTATTATAAAATAAAAACCCAGAAGTAGAAAAAGTGTCATTTTGGCAGCTTGCTTTCAATAAAAGCTGTTTTTTGGACTACAGGAAAGTTTTGAGCTCTGAAACGTACAGTATGTTTTTATAGTACAGTATGTCTTGTATGACAAAAACCAGGGAGAATTTGGTTTCTCAATTCATGACCCCTTTAAAAAAGCTTTTTAAATACATTTTTCTAGTGATTAATATTTCGTACATTGATGATTACATGGTGGAGATGAGCTTTATAAGCGGGCAATCAGTTGAAATGCACTCATTGTAGTCAAACATTGTAGCATTGGAGAGAACTGTTTTCTTAATAATTTCAAGTTAATTTTTTTTATCATAGAAAAAATTGGCAGACGTGATCACAGACAGCCAATTACCCCAGCCAATTTCCCTTTCAAGGAAAGTCTGTTCACTTGAGCAACCATATTTGCAATGCCTACGGGCAGCTATTTTGGCCATCCCAAGACCGAGTCCTGCTTGATTTAGGAAATACTGAAATGTCAAAAACGGCTTGCCACACTCACATTTAAATACCATATTTAAAGTATGTGTAAACCAGAAGTTGCTACCTACTTAACATCTATATTGACGTATTTCCAACTGAAACAGAATATCAAACAGAGGGCAGTGTCTTATTTTAGCTCTCCTCCTAGCAAGCAGCAATTGTAAAGTGTGCATCAGCCCGACATGCAAGATGTTCTTTGTTGAAGATTCAAATAAGTGTAAAGTGGACTAGTTAGCTAAAATCATACAATAAAATGAATATGTTTGTCTAAAAATAGATAAAGCTTTAAAAAGTAATTTAAACTAAATTCATAATTCAGAGGCCAATATTAAAAACAACAACAACAACAAAAAAACCTGGGATCTGAAAAAAAGGTCGGAGGCTTTTTTGTTAATTTTGTGAAACTGAACCCAATGATTAGAAATTTTAATAGCACTTCTGTACGAGATTGAAGGTTCTAACAAACAATATGTGGCTGAATAAGTGAGTAAAACTCACTTAAAACAAACTGCCTTTTTAATCCTTTTATGTTTTTGTCACTCCCTGGAATGACAGTGAATATATTTCACCACACACACACACACATAAAGAATCAGGTGAGCGCACCATATGATGTTATATTCATCACATACATTCATATTTCATCCATGTTGCGCACAGAAGCAGCAAAGCTGAAAAAACCTACTCAAGATATCATCAATATATTTCAACCCCTTAGATTCATTATTACAAATATAGTATGTGTGTTTCTGAAAACTTTGGCAATAATTCTAGATACCTGTCACATTATGCAATGAAACACACACCCAATGTTGATATGTAAATGTCAACAAATGCATAGAATGCACACAAAGTACTTCATTTGTCACTGACCACTTTAGAATGAGCTATGACAAGCGATAGCTCTACTGATCGCAAAGCTACTTGTCTTGCTATAACGCTTGGCCATGTGTTATGAAAATTATGAGAAATGCCATTAAAGTGAGCTTTAGCAATGTTGTACCAAGGGAACCTGAGTATGTATGTACACATGAGACACATTCAAAAAAGCTAAATTTATGTATTCATGGTTGGATAAATGACTTTGCTCATATCTTTAATAAGCTTGTTAATATTACAAGGGTTCCATCCCCTTAAAAAATAGCCTCAGCATATCTTCAGGGTGAAGCGCTGGCCATTGTTAATATTATTTCAACTTTCACTCTCTGTTCTTTTATCTCTCAAATAGATCTACTTCACATATATATATATATATATATAGCACTTCTATATAACCATTTGTATAGGGTAATTACCAGACAGAACATAAATTATTGATTATTTCTTGTTTTTATCTCGAGTTTAATGCAGCAGAGATGTAACCAGCTTTAACCATTCTTTTAGAGAAGGGGTGTACTGAGGAGGCTTTTACTGGCTTGGTGCTTGACTCCCCTAAAAACCCACCTTTCTCTGTTCACCCAGTGTGCTGCTCCATGTTTTGGGTGGTTGTGGATTTGTTTTTGTATCCCACACTTGAGCTTGCTTTACCTCGTATAAACACATATATAGAAGTATATAGAGGTCTGAATGTTTTAACACACACTGGTTTGCACGAGCCCGTGCTGAGATGCCACACTCAACCTCCTCACACAAGAGTCGTCAATTGAAAAAAAACGGTCTTGACAGCTGCTCTCCTCTGTGAGGAACAGGGTAGTAGCAGGAGTGAGAGAGTGAGGAGAGGGAGGAGGGAATGAGAGTCTGAGAGAGAGAGAGGGAGAGAGAGAGAGAGACTTGTGCATTGAGAGCCAGCCTCAGCCTCTATTGTGGTAAGCAGGCAAGGGAAGGCGTTTAAGCAGCGGACTTTAAACCCACAGGCGCAACACTGGTCACCACTGTAGAGACCCCTGAAATCAGAGGACAGGGCAATATGGAGGAGGACATGGATGAGGGACAGACTCAGAAGGGTAATAGAATGCTTTTTCTCCATTGTTTTCCCATCCATCTTTATGAGTGTGTTGTTTACCTTTGTGCCTAATCCCTCCCTGCTTTTCATTGTGTCTGATCTTGTGGATTATAAAATGAGGTTATGAAAACTATTAGAATATAGGTTATTATTTTTTTCCATGGAAGAAGCAGCGTATTCTGCCATATTTTCAATTCAATTTTTTTATGAATTCCCGTTGATGTATTTCATGCAAACACTGTGATGCAGTGCATGAATTTTTTGTTTTTGAATACAGGCAATTAACTTGGCTGAGCAAATATGATGCTTACATCCTTAAAAAAAAACAATTGTCAGATTTTCGATAGGATAATGATTGTTGAGGGGTGTGTGCAGGGGATGGATCCCGTGTGAGCGCGCATGTGTGTGTGTGTGTGTGTGTGTGTGTGTGTGTGAACAATCTGATGGGTCTGTCTTTGTTTGCCGCGCATTTCTGTCAGTCTGTCTGAAGGAGGCTGAGACAGATGGGAGAACCATCTTCTGCATGCAGTGGACATTTAAATAGTCATCCTAATTCACCCATTGTTTCCCCTTCTTTCATTTTCATTTGTGTGCAGGAGCATTTGTTTGCTTTGTGTGAGAGGGAGCTTGCTATTTATAATACCACCATTTGCAGGGGCTGAGGTTTCGAGCTCAGGGTGAAAATCACTGCATGTCTTTTTTTCTTCTTTGGTGGTCTATAGAGAAAATATTTGCACATGACTTCATGGTGAGGAGCTGAAAGAAAGGGAATAAAAATTTTCAAAATACCAGCCTTCAGAACTCTCTCTTCCTCCTCCTCTCGCTCCATCTATGACGGCTCTTTATATTTCAGCGATTTCCCCCTCCTCCCTTCTAAAGCAGTGTGATGATAGCAGCCATGTCAGGTCTGCTGTGCTTGAACGGTCAGTGGGCTTGTGTGATATTTAGCCAGAGGTGGAGAGTACGAAAATATTCTACCATTACATTAATGAAATTTTACTTAAGTACAAGTAAAAGTACCAGTCTAAAAATCTCAAAGTAAAAAGTAGCTCATTTAAAATTTTACTCAGAGTAAAAATTACTTAGTAACATTTTAACAGTAGGAGGGAGGCAAAAATGGGATAGGCCAAGGGTGTCAAACTCAGTTCCTGGAGGGCCACAGCCCTGCACAGTTTAGATATAACCCTAATTAAACTTACTTAAACATACATGGTATGTGCGTTGGAGCAGGGTTGGAACTAAACTCTGCAGGGCTGCGGCCCTGAGTTTGACACACCTGGGATAGGCCTATAAATCTCAAACTAGTTGTTTTTAATTAAAGGAATCAGTTATTTAGAATAATAAGACATTTGGGCTGTTACCAGGCAAATTAAATCAGTATCAACAAAATTCATCTTTGCAATGCAGAGGAAACACAGA